TATAGGGTATGAGGTTTAGTTTAAGGTCCTTCCTTCCATCCCTCCTTCCCTTCTTCCTTTTAACCTATGGGTATCCAATTGTTCCAGCACCATTTATTGAAAAGACAATCTTTCCTTCACTGAATTGCTTTTGCATCATTGCAGAAAATCAATTTGGCATATTTATGCAGATCTTTTTCTGGGTTCATTGTTCTATTCCATTGATCTCTGCGTCTGTCCCTTTGTTAATACCACACAGTCTTATTACTATAGCAATACAGTATGTATTGAAATCAGGTAAAATGATTCTTTCCACTTTATTTTTTTCAAGATTGTTCTGGTTCTTCTAGTTTCTTTGCCTTTCCATATAAATTTGAGAATCCTGTCTATATCTTAAGAAAAAATCTTGCTGAAATTTTGATAAGAATTACAGTAAGCCTATAAATTTGGGGATAATTGCTATCTTTAATATTTTGAGTCTTCAGTATGTCTCTCTGCTTATTTAGATCTTCTTTGATTTTTTCATCAGCATTTTATAGTTTTTAGGATACAACTACTGTACATGTTTTGTTAGATTTAAGCCTAAGCATTTCATTTTTTTGAGCAATCATTATTGGTGTTGTATTTTTAATTTCACTGTCCATGTGTTCACTGGCAGTGTATACAAATACAATTGGTTTTTTTATGTTTATCTTCAATCATTGACCTTGCTGAACTTATTTGTTCTAGGAGTTTTATTGTAGATTCTTCAGGATTTTCTATGTAGGCAACCATGTTGGTTCATATTAGGGACAGTTTCCTTCTTTCCTTCATTCCATCCTCCTTCCCTCCTTTTCTTTTCTCTTCTCTTTTCTTTTCTTTTCTTTTCTTTTCTTTTCTTTTCTTTTCTTTTCTTTTCTTTTCTTTCTTGGCATTTACTTCTTGCCTTCTTGCTCTGGCTAGAACTTGCAGCATTATGATGAATATGAGCAGAGAGAATAAATATATATCCTTGCCTTGTTCCTGATATTAGGTGAAAAAAACACTCATTTTTTCACTATTGCTTCTATGTTGCTATAGGGGTTTTTGTAGATGTTCTATACAAAATTGATCTTTAAATTGGTTGTATAGCACATTGACTTATTGATAAGGAAGGGTCCTGATGGCCTTATGAAATGGTGAGGTGGCCTGTATAACTAGTGATTCAAAAGTTCCACTGTTCTGTCTTAAAATGTTTCTCCCAAACCAAATGAAATTCACCGGCTAGACCCTCTTTGCATCTTTTTAAGTGGAGAACCTCTTAGAAGGGGTCACATTTTATACTGCGTTATGGAATAGTTCATCTGTTTCTTTCCTCCTTTATAGAATAGTTTATCTGTTTCTTTCCTCCTTATCCAAGTACAAAAAGCATGGGATGGGTGGGAGAAGAAAGGAGGAACAGTTTTAGAGCAGAGAATAGTGCAGTTGGGCTGCAGGAGGTTACTGGAGTGCCTTTTCTAGTTCAAGCACAGACAGGAACTTTGAAAAGGATTCGAAGCCTAATTTAACCTTTTAAAAAATTTGCATCACTTCTATATTAAATACAGTAAAACCTTGGTTTGCAAGCACAAGTCATTTCAGAAACATGCTTGTAATCCAAAGCACTTGTATATCAAAGCAAATTTCCCAATAAAAAATAATGGAAACTCAGATGATTCATTCTGCAACCCAAAAATATTCATATAAAAATGATTACAGTATGGTAATATAATGCAAAATAATAAATAAAATACAAAATATAAAGAAAAATAAATTAACCTGTACTTACCTTTGAAAACCTTCATGGCTGGTGTGAGGGAGACAAGAGAGAGGAGGGTTATTGTGTAGGACAACTTCCAGTATCACTAAGGGAATCACTGCTATCTATTGGCTCAATGGAATCTTTTTCTTTTTGTGCAATTTTAACAAGGAACCTATCCAATGACACTTGCTCTTGCTTCCTTTTGAGGATTTCACAGAAATGTGACATTGCATTGTCATTGAACAATTTCATTGCTTGCACTGCTATAGCCTTATTTGAGTGGTGCTTTTCTACAAAATCTTACACTAGTTCCCAGATTTTACACATCTCCCTAATCTCATTTGAAGTGAGGGATTCCTCTGCCTTTTTTCTTCTCTGTAGACGAGATGCAGACATACACTGCTTACAAAATGTTGTAATTTTGGCCACTTGCATACCTTGTTCATACTTCTCGATGATTTCCTTCTTAACTTCCACTGTAATTAACTCCTTCTTACCACCTTTCTTTTCAACCTTTCTCTACGTGGGGTGCCATTGTATACGCTGGCACAGATGTTGACTACAGTATGGCATTAATAAACTCTTGTCATATACTGTATTTAATGTAACTGGTAATAAGGCCACAGAGGAAAGGGTCTCTGTCTGCAGACAGCCTGACCTAGAATGAAGCAAAGCCTTCCTAAGCTTATTCTTGTGTGGAAAAGCAAAAGACTGTCCATAGGTGCTTTGAAGTGACAAAAAATACACTGATGCCAGTTGTGGGCACCTTCCAACGTTTTGAAAAAAATCATTGGTTTGTGCCAAACAGTGTGGCCTGAGACTGAGCATCTGAGCATGGGAGATGATCACCTGCAATCCTGCAGTGACAGAGAGAGAGAACCATTGGCTCAGTTGTGATCATACGATGTTCGGCGTCACATACTACTCATATTGTAAGACATCACTCGTTTATCAAGTTAAAATTTATTAGAAATGTTTGCCTGTTTGCAGAACACGTTACTCACAATCTAAGGTGTTACTGTAACTATAATTTTAAAAGTACAAATACCACATTTGAGAAGTTTATAATTTTTAAAATTTTTATTAAAAAATGTTTATTTGGGAGAGAAAAAGAGTGCAAGTGGGGGAGGGACAGAGAGAGAGAGAGAGGGAGAGAGAGAATCCCAAGCAGACTTTGCACTGACAGTGCAGAAATGGGGCTTGATCTCACAAACTGTGAGCCATGACCTGAACCAAAATCAAGAGTCAGATACTTAACTGACTGGTCTACTCAGACACCCCTGTAATTTATTTTTAAATGACTCTACATTTGTTTAATATATTGCATTTGGTGATGCCTCCTCCAAAGCATGTCTTGTAGAAAGCAAAAATATCCTGCTCATGATATAGGTCTTTTGTCAAGAATGACAGCATGTCATTATTTTACTTAGAAAATGATGACATAACGCCAAGTTATAATAGTGAAGCACAAATTATATTTCACAAAAAACAGGTACTTACTTACTTCATGTGGGAATATAATTATAGTATTTCATAATTTTTCAAGCTTCACAGAAATATCCTAAGTAATTAGCCCATACAAACACTAAGAATTTGAAAGTGTTATTGCATTTTTTTTCTGTTGTATTTTTGCTTATGGAAAATTGTTTACAAGTTAATAATACTGAAAACTTTTGTTCAATATACTTATCTAACATAGATCATTCAGTAATTTAGATCGTACTAGGTGAATTCTGGAGACTCTTCTTATGGACTTATTCTTTTGTAATTTGATTGTCTTGTTTTCTAGCTCATGGTATCATTTTTTGGGTATTCTTTGCTGAACTTCTAGAATACCTATTCTATAAAATGTATTACTTTATGTATTTCTGCTCTACCTGCCCCTGCCTTGATTGCTGTTTAGAATATTAGAATAACATTCTAATAGCTTTTGTAGCTGTGAAGTTTATACTGTTTCTGTTTTGTACATCAGGCTGCAGATGAGCTCCACCTAGCAAGACTTTTCTTTAGAATGAAGATAAAGCATTTTGCCAGAATCTGGGCAAGAACTGTGATTAATAGGCCTAAGGTTAGGAATGAAAGTGCCTTCAAGTAAGCAATATAATTTTCAAATTGATGAGAAGGAACCAAAACTCACAAGAGCAAAGGGATTATAAGAAAATACCCATCTGTTCTGAATTAGTTCAGGTCTCTTGACCTAGATAAGTTATATTCCCAGGGACTGATAGTACCTTTGAATGGGATTGTGGAGCTACTCTTGGTGATCTTTGAGAAGACATAGAGAGTAAGAGGATAACATACAAATGCCATTCCAGGTATAAAATGGCCATAAATTATAACCAGGGAACTCAATTTCAGTTCCAGACAATATACTAGAACGTATTTATTAAAAGATGGTTTGTGAGGATATACTAGAGAAAACAGTAACCCTTGAGCCAATTTTATGTTTATTAAGAGAATCAGCATGTGGATGTTGTGTACAGTTACTAGGTCCAGGACCTATAGTAGCTATAGAATGTATAGACTTTATGAAGACATTTGACTGAGTTTGCCATAATATTCCTGAAGACAATATGGGTAAATATAGGCTGATTATAAAAATAATTGGATAGATTAATAATCAGTTGAAAAGTTGTACCTTCAACTCTTCAAATGTGCTGAGTAATAGATCAGTATCAACCAAGTAGATATGACATGCTATGGAGTTCTTTCCTCAGTTTTGTCATATTCAACACTTTAAATCAATGAATTAGATGGATAAAACAGCTTATAAGGATCAATTTTCAAAGAGACACAAAGCTTAGAATTTCCTGCACACCAAGTCAATACATAAAGGGAGTCTAACACATACATATCTTTAAGATACATGTGTGTCAGAGGCACCTGGGTGGCTCATTTGGTCAAGTTTCCGACTTCAGCTCAGGTCATGATCTTGTGGTTCATAGGTTCGAGCCCACTTTGGGCTCTACTGACAGCTCACAGCCTGGAGCCTGCTTTGGATTCTGTATCTCCCTCTCTCTCTGCCCCATTCCCACTCTCTCTCTCTCTCAAAATAAAAATAAAACTTAAAAAAAAGAAAAAGATATATGTGTCTAAGATATGTATGTACAGATATATATGTTATTAATTTACTTACATTATAATTATAATTTAATTTTCTGCACTTCAATGTGAAAAACCAGATACACAATAGAATGGGGGTTATTGGTTGCAAGAAATAGGTAGCATAAGGAGGAAAGAGAATAGTGCAGGAAGATTGGGCATGGATCCTAAAGGACAGGTAGGGAAGCTAGGTTGCACGAGTAACTGAAGTGAGGAATTTGAAGGTCATTGGTTCCTTTTTTCCTCTCTTTCTTTGGATCCAGATTATCTTTGTCTCATCTTGTCTGTGTATGTCTGCTCACCCTTCTCTCTCATTCCAGTAATGTGGCTAACTCTGTGTGGAAGATCCGTCTCCATTCAGGCTGCCCTAAAGGTGTCCCAAATACTTGGGTCTTCAACACTTACAAGTCTGGTTGGCTCATCCCAGCCTAGGGCTTCGTTCTTCTAGGTCTGATATCCAGTCCTCATCCCCCAGTCAGCCATGGCTACGGTTGATGGGTGGAGGGAGATTTAGTCACATTACCAGAGCAGCCAGGACTGTAGAAGATGAATTCTCTAAAAAAGCAAACATAGGTGAGAAGGAATAGATTGGTATATTTAATATAATGAAAGATGGTTTCACACTGAAGCATTTTTTTAATAGGGGCTTTATTTAACACAAAAGCAAGTAATATATAATATCAACGTATAAAAAATAGAAAAGACTGTTGTGAACGAAGGTTGCATTAGAAGATACTACCAATGATATTACCTATGAGATATTAGAATGAGGGAAATTTGAGCCCTCTCTTACTCTGTTTTAGTGAGACCAACCGTGCTGGAGTATTAAATTCTGGGGACCAAACTTTGAAACATGTATAGAACACTGGAACATGTTCAGAGAAAATTATTCAGAATAAGGAAGAAATTCAAAACCATGTCATATGGGAAACAGCTGAAGGAATTGGAAGTCTTGACCTGGAGAAGGGAAGATATGGAGTGCTCCTGATAGCTGTCTTTAAATATTAGAACGAGGTCTAGGGTTGTTGCACATGGTTACTGGGAGATTTAGGGCCAGTGCACTTACCAAGGAGGCAGATTTGGGGTCAGCATGAGAAGCTGTCTGAGGATAGAACAGGCTGCTTTACAAACTAGTTTCCCATCATTTGGGAGGTTGAAATAGAATCTGGATTACTTTTTATCCAGGTTAGAATAGATTGTATGAACCCGTCCAGAGCTTGCGCCAAGTTACTTTTATGATTTGTTTCAAACTTGTTGTTTTACAAATCTGTAAATTTGGTATCTCTGGCAGTTAGATGGTTGATGTGGTCATTCACCTGTATCCCACAGTATTGCAGTTTTTAATTTGAAATTTTTGTTATTGAACTTTAGATGAACAAAATGATACTATGTAAAGATTTGTTATTTGTTTCAACTGACTCTTGTGTAATGGCATTGACAGGTGGGTGAAGTGTGTCACTCTTAGTTGTGGGAGCAGTTTCTACAGTCTTAAGGGAGTTTTCATTAAGAGTAAGTACCCCTCGAATACAAGTGTTGCTTTCATTTTAGCGCCCTGGGGCAAATATTTAATGAAGCCATCTCTTAGCCTTTGTGAATAGCAGGACGAGTAGAGTCTACTTGAGGAATATTTATATACTTGAGACAGAAAAAAGAATTACCTCTCTCTTCACTTTGCTGGAATTCCATTTTTCACTGCCCTTATGCTGGCCAGAGATACATGAACTTCTTATTTATTTAAGAAGTAAGAGGATTAAGCTGACACACCCATAGCAGAAAAATATGACACAAATGGTTACAGGGGGTAGGTTTTAGATAGACCTGGGTTTAATCCCAATGTCTCCATATACCAACTGGTTGTTTAACTTCAGTGGTTTCCATTTCCTTATCTATAAAATGGGTATAACCATACCTACCTGAAGGGAAAAGAACAGAGTTAGAAGAGATTGGGTTTAAAATGTTTTTGCTATTTATGGTTATATGAGAGAATTCTGTTGTAAATTCTGTAAAAATCATAAAATATTAAAACTGAACAGGAACTTAAGAGTTCATTTGGTCCAATGCCATAATTTTATAAATGAGGAAAAATAAGATCTGAAAAAGCCAAGAGGCATCTCCAGGATCACAGTGCAGCTGGCAGTGAAAGGCCAGCGATTTCTCTCCACTTCATGGAAAACTCATCTTAAAACAAGAATTATAAAGATGTTTTCATCATTTTTTGTTTTATTTTATGGAAAATATTTCAAGAGTAAATCTTTCTTAGAGATACTATGGAGAAGCAATCACTCTGAAAGACCCTTTTTTAATTCCAAGATTCTGTGTCAGAGTCCATGTCATGCCAGTTTTTAAAATTTTATCCAGATGTCAGCAACATCATAATTATTACTCCATGGCATAGTCCAGTGTGCATTTACTTCATTTGACCAGCGTGGTTGCAATAACATCCTCAGTGGAACTTTGCCAGAAATTTAAAAATATCATTTCAATGTATGTATGTATATATGTCTATTTTCTAGATGTCCCCTGAAGAAAAAGTTTGTAGGTACTGTGGAGTCAGCTATCTAATTCTTCACGAGTTTAAAGCTATGGAAGAAAAAATGAAAGCGATGGAAAAAGAGATGAAATTTTATCAAGGAAGTGTAGATCGTGAAAAGAGACTTCAAGAAAAGCTACGGTCTCTTAGTCAAGATTTTGAACAGTACAAAATTGACAATGAATCCAAAACAGAAAGGTATATTATTCTTTTCTGTCATTTATTTAGTTTGAAAGGAAAGTACAGGAAATAAATAGACTTTGAATGTTTTTCTGGAATTTCTCTATATCAGGTATAACTTACACTTTAATACACCTATGTTTGTTCATTAATTATTACTAACTGTTAAACCTAATTATTATAGTTTGAGCATTTCTTTTGAGGCATAATATTTACTATTTGAATAATTAGAAACTAGTTCATTCAGTAGTCATAGTTGGGATGGGTCAAGTTATATTTTTCCCCAGATATATATCTTAATTTATCATTAGAAAGATTTGTCTATCAAAATCAGGTGAATTTTGGTTGTTTTGTGACTTAACATTTGTTTTTAAATGGCCTTGAATATTTAGATTTATAGCATAAGGTTTTCATGTTTTGAAAGGATGCCAAAACATTAAAATTGGTACATGATTCTAAGTCACTGAAATTGGAATAAAATTAAAGATTGGGTTCCTAATTGCTGCTGAATCTAATCAGCAATTTAGTCTGCCTAAAGACACTTCAGTATGTTTATACAGACACTTCTATAGAAGGGTTTTTGCTGGTATTTTATGGCCTTTCCTTTTTCCCATAAGTGAATATTTCTCCATTTAAAATATCGACAGTTGATGTTAGTAAACTTTGAATGAATGAATTTAGTGAATATCGTGTCTTTGTAAAAGTAGGAACTTTGTTAAATCTCCTAGAATTAAGTGCTTCTATTACATTTTGTTATAAGCTTTTATAATTACATTAAATCTTAGTTGAACCTGATATTTCTTAGACCTTTACTAAGAAAATTTTGTTACAGTGTCTTTAATTTCAAATTTGAATAATAAAGTATTTCATAATGTTCGAGTAGAAAAATAAGAAGCTTAAAGTATTCAGCTTAAAATTTTAGATTTGGAGGGTTTTGCCTGTCAGAGCAGAGATTCTTTTGTTTGGGGTATTCACATTTTACTTTCTTTAATAGAATATTGCATTATATAAGTCATATGAACACACAAAATAAAAGAAGTAAACAGAAGTAAAGGCAAAGAATTCCCTTTTTATTCTGATTACTTTTTTCTTACTGGAGAGAAAACCGCTTTTAATGGTTTGGTGTATATCTTTCTAGATCCTTTATTGTGCCTTTTCTTTTACTATAGATATATTTCTTTAAAATATCTAATATATCATATATGAGCCACTTAATTACATACATTGGAAATTGTTCCGTGTTAGTGTGTATAGATCAATCTTGTTTTTAACTGTTACACTTTCCTTCTTAAGAATATGCCGTAATTTACTTATTTTTCTTTTCAACATTTAGATTATTTCCAATACTTCTTATTACAGGTAGTATTTTTTTTACAGATAGTATTTATATTTATATTCTTGTGTACATGTGTTTTTCATGGGATAAATTCCTAGAAGTGAAATTGCTGAAAGAAAGGAAATGCCAGCTTAAAATTCTGATAAATGGGGTGCCTGGGTAGCTCAGTCAGTCAGCTATGTATCCGACTCTTGATTTAGTCTCGGATCATGGTCTCCCGGTTCATGAGATTGAGCCTAGTGTTGGGCTTTGTGCTGACAGTGTGGAGCCTGCTTGGGATTCTTTACCTCTCTCTGCCCTGTCCCCCCTTCAAAATAAATAAATAAACATTAAAAAAAATAAAATTCTGATAAATGTATACCAAATTGTCCTTTGAGAAGATAGTGTTAATTTGACCAATAGTTTATAAGACCATTTTCCTACATGTTCATATTAGAGTTTTCAATTTTTTTCGAATATTTACTTTTTTCTTGAGTTTTCATTGTTGTTTAATTTGTGTTTCTTTGTTGCTAATGAGGTCGAACATTTTTTCATGTTTATTAGACATTTCTGTGTTTTCCTCTACTAAGTACTTGTTCATATCTGTTGTCAAAATTTCTATTGGGTTATTTGTTTATTTTTGTTTATTTATAGGAGTTTTTAATAAAATATGGACATTATTTTTGGTTTATATATGTTGCTAATATTTCCTCATGTTTGCCTATCTTTTTGTTTATTGTGTTTTTCTGTGTTGATTTTTTATTTTTTTAACATTTCATACCAAATTCTGGTCCAGGTTCTGTGTCAAGTTCTTTTTTTTTTTTTTTTAATTTTTTTTTCAACGTTTTTATTTATTTTTTTGGGACAGAGAAAGACAGAGCATGAACGGGGGAGGGGCAGAGAGAGAGGGAGACACAGAATCGGAAACAGGCTCCAGGCTCTGAGCCATCAGCCCAGAGCCTGACGCGGGGCTCGAACTCCCAGACCGTGAGATCGTGACCTGGCTGAAGTCGGACGCCTAACCGACTGCGCCACCCAGGCGCCCCTGTGTCAAGTTCTTTTGATTGCAAACAACAGAAACTCACTCTGGCTAACACTAACCTAGATTCAGGCAGGTTGAAAACACAACGTATGTCTAAAACTTTTATAGTACTGCTGTTTTAGTTAACTTTTTAATCTATTTGGAATTAATTTTGTCTGGTGGATTTATAATTTCATATTTATTCTTTTTGAAATGTATGGCTTGTCTCAATATCATTCATTAAATTTTCATTCTTTCTCTTTTGATTTGAAATGCCACCTAGTAATTTCTATGCTAGTCTATTTCTGGACTCTCTGTTTTATGCTATTGATCTATTGCTTATCAGTGGGTGTCTTAGTCCATTTGGGCTGCTATAACAAAGTACCATAGACTGGGTGGTTATAAACATTATTTATTTGTTTCTGACAGTTTTGCAGGCTGGGAAGTCCCACGGTGCTGGCATATTTGGAAGGGTTCCTCCCTCCTACTCTTTCCTGGTTTGGTGTTTTTGCTATGTCCTCACATGGTGGAAGAAGCAAGGGAGCTCTTCCAGGTTTCTTTTATAGGTACACTAATCTCATTCTTGAGGATAAAAATCCTATGTGCTATGCCTATTCATCTTTTCGTCCCTTTTAAAGACTGGCAACCACTGATCCATTTGTTGTCTTCATAGTTTTGTTTTATCCAGAATGTTGTATAGTTGGAATCATATAATATGTAGCTTTTTCAAGTTCTTTTACTCAGTAATATGCATTTGAGTTTCTTGCATGTCTTTTCATGGCTTGATAGCTTACTTCTTTTTAGCATTGAATAATATTCCATTGCCTGGATGTTCCACAGTTTATCCATTCATCTACTGAAGAGCACCTTGATTGTTTCCACGTTTTGGTAGTTATGAATAAAGCTGCCATAAGTATTCATGTGCAGGTTTTTGTATGCAGATACATTTTCACCTCCTTTAGATAAATGTCCAAGTGTGATTGCTGGGTCATACAGTAAGAGTATGGATAATTTCATAAGAAACCTCCAAGTTGTCTTCCAAAGTGGCTCTATCATTTTGCATTCCTGGCAACAATGAATGAGTGAGAGTTCCTGTTACCACATACTCACCAGAATTTGGTGTTGTTGGTATTTTGGATTTTGGCCATTCTTATAAGTGTGTATTGGTATCTTGTTGTTCTAATTTTCATTTCCCTGATGACATATGATGTTGAACATCTTTTAATATGCTTGGTATCTGTATATCTTTGCTGAAGTGTTTATTCAGATGTTTTGCCTATTTTAAAATCAGATTGATTATTTTCTTATTGTTGAGATTTAAGAATTCTTTGTATATTTTGGATGATAGTCCTTTATTGGATGTGTCTTTTGCACATACCTAATTTTTCTCCTGTTATTTTCTAGGAATTTTATACTTTTGCATTTTATATTTATATCCATGATACATTTGAGTTAATTTTTGTGAAGGTTGTAAACTCTGTACTTATATTCTTTTTTTTCTTTTTTCTTTACTTTTTTTTTTTTTTTTTTTTTTTTTTTGCACTTGGATGGCTTATAGTTGCTCCCAGCGTGATATGTTAAATAGATCATCTTTGCTCAATTGTATTGCCTTTGCTCCTTTGTTGAAGAGCAGTTGACTGTAGTATTTATGTGGATCTGTTTCTTTTTTTCTTAAAGTTTATTTATTTATTTTGAGAGAGAGGCAGTGTGAGTGGGGGAGGAACAGAGTGAGAATCCCAAGCAGGCTCCGCACTGTTAGCACAGAGCTTGATGAAGGGCTCAAAATCCCAAAACCGCGAGATCATGACCTGAGCTGAAGCCGGACGCTCAACCGACTGAGCCACCCAGGAGCCCTCATGTGGATCTATTTCCGGACTCTGTATTCTGTTCCATTAGTATCTTTGTCTGTTTTGTTTTGTTTTTGTTTTTGTTTTTTTTACTGGTACTACATTATCTTGATTATTGTAGTTTTGTAGTAAATCTTGAAGCCAGGTAGTGTCAGTCCTCCAAATTTGTTTTTCTCCTTCAATATTGAGTCGGCTATTCTGGGTCTTTTGTCTCTCCATATAAACTTCAGAATCTGTGTGTTCATATCCACAAAATAACTTGTGGGGTTTTGATTGATACTGAATTAAATCTATACATCAAGTTGGGAAGAATTGATATCTTGACAATATTGAGCCTTCCTATCCACACACGGAGTGACTCTCAATTTATTTAATTGTTCTTTGTTTTCTTTCATCTACATTTCATTTTCTTATATAGATCTTATACATATTTTGTTAAGAGTTTTTCACGGTTATACCTACGTATTTAATTTTTTGGGGGGGTTGCTAATGTAAATGGTAATCTGTTTTTAATTTCAAATTCCATGTAGTTATAGTGTATAGGAAATTTATTGACTTTTGTATGTTATGTATTTTGTTACGTATTTTCTACATAGGTGATCATATAGATTTGCATACTATACATTTCAATAAGTTGTATTTTCATTTTCATTTAGTTCAAAGTAGTTTTAAACTTCTCTTGTGACTTCTTCTTTGACCCATATGTTATTCAGAAGTGTCTTTTTTTATTTCCCAGTTTTTGGGGATTTCTCAGCTCTTCTGTTTCATTTGTAGTTTAATTTCCTCATGGAGGGACGCCTGGGTGGCGCAGTCGGTTAAGCGTCCGACTTCAGCC